GTTAAACGTATGACAATAAACGTTTATGTGACTTGTCGTCGCCAACATAAATCTCTAAAACTTGTTCTCTGCCGCCATCAATTGCAAATCATCGCCTCGTAAGGAATCAGGCGATCAGGTCGCCGCCATTTCATAAGGATTAATTGGAAGTCATCGCCGTGCAAGGAGTCGGAGTCGCTGTCGTCTATAAAAGCCGAACAGCGTAGTTGCTGGTTTTTCATCGTAATCTGAGTCGCCATCGTCTTGTTTGCCTGTTGCAATTCGCAACAATTTGCCAATTTGCCGCCGTCCCTTTGCAAAGTAGCAGCCAGCTACAAAATTTGCAACAAGGTATCATCAGCACCCTTCCGATTTAGCCATTGCCGTGCAATCGAAAAGGCAGGTGCCAGCAATCGGAATCTATACAAACAACGTGTTGAAGCCGCCATACAGATTCGGGCCTAAAACTTTGGATTCGTGACAGAAAAATTTAGTTCATTTGTGCAGCAGCGCCGCATTTCGCTTTTGGGTAATTTGCGAAGCACTACTTGGCATATGTAGGGCCACATAAAATCGCCCCGGTTGTTACAAATTTGTAAGCAGTCCTACAACGGATTTACCGCCAAAAATTCGCGATAATCATTTTAACCCGCCACAAATTGTTCGCCAGCAACAGTTATTCGTTGGCTCAGCATTCAGTTACTCGTCGATACCACTGCTAAGCACCGGTATAACTAACCTAAAAATATTTTTCTACGTGATTATCTGCGCTAATGCGAACAAGATCTCAAATGAGCCAACAACAAGGAACTAGTACAGAAGACGATGCGGATTTAAATGCGACGGTTGTTGAAGCACCACCCGGCCCTGCGCCACAGCGCCACAGCGTCAAGGTGCACAAGTGGACAATTTAACCGCTTTGGTCGCTTCAATTACGGCCTTACGTGAGTCAATCGTTGAGCTCCGAAACGACACAAATATTCAGCGTTCGGATCAGCGTTGCCATTTTAGCCGTTTTCCGGCTAGATTTAGCCGGTTTTGATAGCAACTAGCCGGAGAAAATTCGATCTAGCCGGCAGCCGATTTGTTAGCCGGTCTGTAAAAAAAAGTTAGCCGTTTTTAGCCGATTTTACTAT